TCGGGGCTGGCAGGCTTGGAGCTGGCAAAGGCACTGTGGCCAGAGTCTACCCCTTTAATGGCTCTGGGGCTGGGGGAAAGGAGAGTATGTTTTCCTGGTTGTGCCCAGAGTGGCCACCAGGGCTCCCTGGGAAGAGCTGGAGGCCTCCTATTTTGAATTAAGTGTCTACACAGCACTTAATTCAAAATAGCTATTTTGAATTTGGCATTACTCCTCATAGAATGAGGTTTACCAAATTCGAATTAATTTTGAAACAGCAGTTTGCATGTATAGATGCTATTAAAATTAATTAGAAATAACGACTGTTATTTCGAATTAACTTTGCAGTGTAGACATACCCTATGAGAGGCAGAAAAGTGGGGAGGAACAGGAGCTGGTGCTGGGGTGGGAGCCAGCTTAAAAAGGGAGGCTGCTGCTCTGCCAAGCAGTACCTGTTCGCGGTCTGTCCGAGGCCAGCCCGGACCACTGCATACAGTAGCTGCTTGTCCCAGCTCACGCTGGTCTGGAACCACAGCGCTGCTGCATTTTAAAATGCAAAGCCACAGTAGTCCAGAATTGGCATGAACGGGACTGCTCAGTTCTGGTCCAAGCCAGCTCCAGGAGCTACCTCTGCTGTGGCTCTGCAGAGAGGCCTTTATTGACTAATCGTGTATCAACTACACGATTAGCCAAACTGCTCTTTAACATCCTTTTTAACAACACCAGAACCACTCTTTAACAACTCCAGAGACCTTACTTTAGGCATTGACTTTTGCAAATCTCAGCCTTTATTTCTAGTTAAGGGATGAGTGGATTGACTTAAGAGATTTGCTTGCTTCCTGTGTAAACTCAAAAGCTTGTGACCTTCACCAACAGAAGCTGGTACAATAAAAGGATAAAAGATATCTGGTAGGATAAAAGATATCTCACCCACCTTGTCTCTTTAGTATCCTGAGACCAAAACAGCTACATCAGCACTGCACACAGCAAAGGTAAGTGTAATACAGTGAAGGAAATTCAGAAGCTAGGAAGGTAACAGCATTTTCAGTAATAGTAGCTGGAAAAGAAACCAAGAAAAGAATGAAGCTGACAGTATGGTCAGTTTTAAGGCCATCAAATGGAATTGTTGACCAAGAGACATAGACAATTCTGTAGGACAGTGTTTCCCAATTTTATTTGGCCAAGGAACCCTTTTCAGCTTTTCAGAATTTCAAGGAACCCCTAGGTTTGTCAACCAAAAAAAAAGGGGGGGTGAGAGGGAAAATCCCCACCAATGCATGAAAATCACATTCCGTCCTCGAGGCCTCCCACCCCCTTCCTTGAGGCCTCATTTACTCTGTTCCCCACCTCTCCATCACTTGCTATCCCCAGTCCTTATACACTCTGGCTGTCTACACTGTCATGAATTCCGGAACTGCTTAAAACGGAATACTATTCCGTTTTCAGTTTTTCTGGAAAAGGAGCGTCTACATTGGCAGGCTGCTTTTCCGGAAAAGCCCTTTTTCCGGAAAAGCGTCTGTGGCCAACATAGATGCGCTTTTCCGGAAAAGACTACTGGGCTGTCTACACTGGCCCTTTTCCGGAACAGTGTTCCGGAATAAGGACTTATGCCCGAGCGGGAGCAGAATAGTTTTTCCGGAATAGCGGCTGATTTTGTACAGTAGAGTGTAGACAGCTGGCAAGTTTTTCCGGAAAAGCGGTTGATTTTCTGGAAAAACTGGCCAGTCCCGGAAAAGCCTGGCTGTGTCTACACTGGGCCACTTATTCCGGAAAATCAGCCGCTTTTCCGGAATAAGCTGTGAGCTATCTACACTGGCCCTTGAATTTCCGGAAAAGCAACGATGCTCTACTGTACAAAATCAGCCGCTATTCCAGAAAAGCTACGCTGCTCCCGCT